AGGGTGTCGCCCCTTCAGTGATGCATATATTTACACAAAGATAAGAGACGGGAAAGTCAAACGATGTCTGCTTCATCACCATTGCTCCAGGAAGAAAAATATATGAATTTAAAATGACACGTTTAAAAGCAGGGCGAGTGTGAGTGTGAGGGCTCCATCACGCTGGCTGCTGCTCTACAACAAAGCGATGTGACGTCTGCTGGTACGAGATGCTGCTCTGCTGTCACTTCAGCCAGTTGTGCCGTTGCTGCTGTGTGTTGGATTTTAACACTATTGTAATGACCAGAGCACAGCAGCTCAGAGCCTCCGAGTGCACACTTTAAAAAATTATCTGCTTCCTGTTTTGAGTTCTCCTCCTCCGATAGTGGCGACGCCTACCACTCAGGACAATACTGCACTCTAAGTTTAAATGGTACGGAGCCGAGGCGGGGTTACCATTGGCGACCAATTCAGCGTGTATGCTGGAGCCCTGAGGGTTTAATGTGTGCTTACTGAGTGTGTGTGTGTGTGTGACAGAGAGAGAAACACATTAACTTATGGGAAGTAAAAGAGGACTAAAGGAACATGACACTGAAAATGGGGGAGGAAAAAAAAAAAGACTACTGTATGCTGTACTGTGCTGCCTATAAGTGATGGCTTAAACACAGCCCCTCCCCATGTCCTGTTAAAAGACCACCCTCAGCCCTCATTTTCAGTCCTCCAGGACGATGGGCTCGCTGGTGTTGGAGGGGACGATGGGCATGGCTAGGGAGCGTGGCGGCGGCGGCAGTTTGATCCGGACCAGGAGGTGAGGTTTCCTTGCTGCCCGGCGCATCTCAGACTGGGTGAGATGTTTCCTCAGAGCCCTGGTTCACAGAGACCAGTGATGAGAACACACATCCACTCTGACACAATAATGCTTCAATTAGCTAACACTGTGAGTAATACCCACTCTGATGACACCCATCTGTGTGTGATCCTGCTGACTGTGCATGTCTGTGCGCTAAAGACTGCTGACTTTAGTTAAGTTGGGGCATTGATGATCTACTAAATCAGGAAGTGCTGTGCTGCCATGTACCTGGTGTCCTTTGTGGCAACAAACACCACAGGGTTGGGAGCTTCTCCCTGGCTCACTTTCTGCCGCTTGATGACAGACTGAGAGGTGGTTCTCATACCTGAAGTATATGGCCTCCCATTGGCTGGGTATGGCACTCCTGCAGCCTGTGAACCAATGAAGAAAACAATTGATCAGACTTTAGCGCAAAAGGGAAACACGTGAGTAAAACATGATGGCTTTCCACCACTTTCTGGATTTAATGATGCACTAGTATACTACAAGCTGCCCAGCAGGCCCCAACATAAAACGCAAGACATTAGCAGCCATTAGCTCTGTGAGGAGTGAAATTACATGCACACTCTGAGGAAAAGGATGAAAACAGGCAGCAGCTGAGTGTGTGTTGTAGTAGTTGCAAAAGGAGCATATTTTCTTAAATAATAAGCCATGTGAGAAGAACACTGACGCTTTCAAAGCTTCTCTTCCCCAGCAGGCTCTGGCCCACTCGAGGCTGGTTGGCCTGGTTCCTGTTGATGGGTGTTGGGGGTCCTCTGGTTGCCTTCAGTTTCAGAGGAGCAGAGATGGCTGCGAAGACAATTCAGAGAAGACAAAAGCAGCAGGGCAAGTTTAGCTGTTTAGCATCTTTCAAAAACAAAGCCAACAAACTGTTTCTAAGACACTCAAGGCTTGACGAGAGAAAAAAGGCTGATAAGATTTAGTGATTTACTCTGTCAATAAATATCCTGAAACACATCGTCTCATAATCACCACTTAACAATATAAACCTCAGGCTACAGTCCCACACAGCAACACAAATCCATATCCTTATGAAGACACGTGATCCTTGTCTTAGCAGTAAGGTTTGGACACAACGCCGACAGCATGAAGCACAAATGAAGACACTTTAAAGCGATCGTCACGGTGATTCTACTGCTTCAGGGTCTGACTGCTGATCTGGGGTCTGCATTCACTCAGCTTTAGCGTTACTCTGGGTTCTTGGCTAGCCCAGTGTTAGCATGGTGTCGGTGCAGGTGCTTGCAAAGAGCTGAAGGTGTTAGTTTCTACTTTACTACTGTGCTCTCGTCCTTTTGTGCTATAAAAATTAAAGGAGTCCAAATCACACAAACTGAACTCAGCTGATTGGCTGACTAACCTACATGTGGCATCACAGGCAGTAGAGGACTTTAACAAATACATGTGGTATCATCTAAAGGAAGCATTAACTTGGAACAGCTTCATATTCAGTGTGCTGGTCACATTCTGCGTTCTTACCCAAATCCTTCACTATGGTGGCCAGTGACTGTCGAGGCACCAGCTTGCTCTTCACTGGAGTTTTTGTGGCTTTGGGCAGCCTGATCATACCTGAGGAAATAAAAATATCATTTAAAGAGGTTTGAAAACATCACTGAAGGACAAAGCTGTCAAACTTGCTGCTTGTTAGTAGCTTCAAATGAGCGTAGAAGAAAGAGCGGGTGAGCTTGTACATACACTCAGCCTTGACAGCGTTGGCGTTGATGGAGGCGTAGGGGCGTCGAGCAGCACGTCGAGGCTGCAGAATGTCTTCGCACACCCGCCGAGCGATGCGGGTGAGCTTGGTGGTCTGCAGGATGAATGTCTGGCGGTTCTTGGCCAGCAGCTTGGCTCGACCCTCGTTGCGGGTGAACGGCGACATTCCCTGTACCTCCTGGCGTGTCATGTGACCACGAGGGCCTGACTCCTGGACGGACAGAAAGAACAGATTTAATCGTAAGGAGGTGCAAGACAACCCAAAACGCTTTTCATTCAAACATTTCTAAAGAAGGAGCCGACTGGGAGGACTTACAGAGCCAGCTCTAGCAGCACCCTCAAGCTGTGTGGGAGTCTTCAGACCGCCGTACTTCTTCCAGTAAATCCAACAGGAGGCGCACAGTCTGCACTGCATGTTTGGGGGACCCCAGGCGTACCACTGAGGAGACTGAGCCGCTGGGTTGGAGACAAACGATTTAGTGAGTTAGCACCTGTATCTGTCAGGTCCAGGTGCCTCGATGAACACCTGCCAGTAATACACGGATCTTCTGTGATCGCCGTAATCAGAACAAGTTAGTTACAACAAAGAAAGAAAGAAATTTACATCTATTGTAATGTGTCCGTGTGGACAGTCAACACTCCCACTGCAAACGAGTGTGGTTCAGACTTGATTTAAACCCAGCCTGTGTGCACACTTACTGTGGCAGCTCTCACAGCTGAGTCCTTTCTGAAAGCCTGCCGCTCCGTTCATCCCAGGCTTGCTGCTGGGCACCATGATCTGGTTGGGGTTGGGTTTGGTACTGATGAAGGAAAACAGAGTTATTCAACAATTAGTGAAGCATGTTCCATCATGTGGTTCAGTTCTCCTACATACAGAAAGGTGCTGGTTTACTGCATCACATCATAATACTGCATGGCTTATTTGTTAGAATGCTTCTGCGTTAAATACAGTTTTTAGTTATTTGGCTTTTGTTACATTTATTATACTTCTTTTGTTACATTTATTATACTTCTTTTGTTACATTTGTTATACTTCTTTTGTTACATTTGTTATACTTCTTTTGTTACATTTGTTATACTTCTTTTGTTACATTTGCAACTTGTATTTATTTTAAGCTGTGCTACTATAATATCTTTATTCATTAATCCAAAAGTGACATTTAATCTAATTAAATCTATGGTAAGACTTTAATGACTGTGGCTTAAATAGCTAATGACAATCACAAATCCAGCATCATATTTCCCAACATCTACCAGAAAGGACAATAATAAAGTCTTTACTGTTTGAACAGTGTTTCTTCTACATCTGCCCAACTGATTGTAGCATAAATGGACCGATTAGTGGGATCTGTGGCCAGCAGACTGACGGACCACTGTTCTCTACATGAGCTCTCTATTCGCACGCCTAGCTGCAGCCACTTTGCTGAGCATGTCTGTGGTAGCTCTTGATACAACAGTCCCAGTCCTCCCCTTGTGAAGCTTACAGACTCAGTCGGGGTTCAAAGCGATCCAAGGCGGTCTGAAGGTGTAACGCCAACAGACTGCATGCCATTGGCTGCTGAGTGGCATCGATGACTCCTGAGAGCATCTTTTTTACAAAAATAAAACAACGCCATGTTTGAAACCCGGCGACACGAAAACAGAGTCTGACAACAATCACCTCGACGTCCTCCTTTGTTGCGACGCTGGTGTTGTATACAAATGGTGTCATGTGACCTCTGGCTGCGTTGCGATAACAACCCAAAGCACATTAGCTGGTCCCCAATAGTAATGGTAAACTTGTAAACTAGTAAACTTGATAGCTGTCATCAATACTCACTAGGTAGGGATGTACACCTGCTTCAGCTTGCTGTCTGCTTCTGCTGCTTTCAGTCGTTTCTGAGAGAAAACGTGGAGAGAGCGGGACGTTTTTGTTGAAAACAACACATCTAAAAGTGTTTGTTGATGCCGTTAAACTCAACATGCTGTCGACAAACCTGCTGGATGTAACGGTCAGTAGTCTTCCACATGTAGTAGAACTGGACCACACTAGCTAGGGATTTCCAGGGCAGCTGAGGGAGAGAAGGGAAACATCTGCTGATCCCAGGACTCAGAGTGCAGCTTAAACTTCCTGTTCAGCACTAAATATCTGTGTTACTACTGTTCAAATGCCCACGTGAATGATGTGAGAGAAAAACAGTGAGGAGAGCTTACAAAGTCCTGGCGGATGTCATTGAAGTCTTTGCCGTACTTCTCCAGCGCCTCCTCAAACAGCATGGCCTCAGAGGCGCTCCACTCCTCCATCTCATCGCGGCAGAGCACCGGACCTCCCTGAGGAACCAAGGTGGACATGGCTTTGGCCAGGTCATAGTTGTTCTTCTGCAGCGTGTCCATAGCATGGAACTAAAGGCAGAGACAGGGAGTAAGACGACTGAAGTTTTCCATCGCACACAAACAACACAGAACCCTGCAAGTCAGCTG